TATAATTGATTATTTTTTAAATTTTTTATTTTTTTGTGACTAAAATATTTCAAATCTACGTAATTTAAAAACTTTTAATTTTATTTAAAGGTTTAGAAAAAAAAGGCTTAATTCAGCACATTTTATATATAAAAAAAAAGTCACATTTAAAGTTTAAAAGGAAAATGGTAGTAGGTTGGTTTTTGTATGAGAAACCACAATCAATTTGAAAAAGGTAAAAAATGAGATCAAAATAGTTCAAGAGAAAATTAGTTAGAAAGAGAGAGAAAAGTTGAATGAAAATGGATTCGAACTCATTTTTTTATACCTTTTATTCTTTTAAAAAAAAAAAAAATGGGTAATGGCGATAATAAAAGTAATTTATAAAAAAAAAAAAAAAGAAAAATTCAAAACGATGGAAAATTAATTAATTTCAACAAAAATAAAAAAAAATTTATGTTATTTTTTTATTTTGTTTTTTGTTTTGTAACATTATTGTTTTGTAATTCCATCCTTTTTTAATATTTGTAAATTTAACTTGGAAAAAAAAAGGAAGAATAAAAGGTTCAATAATACAATTTTCTATGTTTTCCCCTTATTTGTATTCCTCGTCACGTTTTTCCTTCGAGCCCGTATAATTCTATCGACTATAAACCTCGTATTCCGTTTAACTAAAAGCTCCATGTTTAATGTTTTTTTTTTCCCTCCCTCTTCCTGCTCCTCTCCCCTCCCCGCTCCCCGTCCGCCTCCTACGCTTCGACCAACTCGACAGAAAAAAAAATATTCACTTTATTATTTTAAAATACTTTTCCATGTTTTTCCCTTTCCCCCACCCCGATTTTTTTTTTTTTTTAAATAATCATTTTTAACGGTTTTTGATTTTATGTGCCAAGTCGTTTTCCCCACACATATGCCCTTATTACATAAACATTAAATTTATTAACGTTTAAGTGAATAAAACGAAACTTTTATTATTATTATTGCGTTTAATAATTAGTTTAAAAAAATTTTAATTTATTTTTTTATTCGGGAGCAAGAAAAGAAAAAGGAAAAGAGAGGAAAATTACAATGGGAATAACAAATAAATGTATATATATATATTTATATATTTTGGTGAATAATAAGAACAAAAGGGAATTGGTAGTAAATAAGTCAAAAACAGGAATAATATAACCTTCTTTTCATCTTCAGAAAAGTCTGTAGAAACTTGTAGAAATTCTGACATGAAGCAGAAGCTGAGACAGTCGTTGTCACTTTTCATTTAAAAACTTTTAAAAAAAAAAATTTAACTCGAGCGGAATATACAACAATTGTAAAGCATTTGAAAACTTTTCTTTCTCTCTCTTCCCCCC